ATGCATTACTTTAGGCTCCTAAACTTTAAAACATTGACCATTGAACATTTAAAAAGAAGGAAAAAATATTCTCATAATAATTTAAAACAATGTTTTTTAGTTTTTTTTAACTTATACCAAGATTTATTTAATTTACTTTTATTACAGCATAAAATATAAAAAGTTTAGTTGATTAATAGAATTTGGTGAAGTTGATGAGTAGATTAGGAAATGCTAATGATGGAGACACGAATGAATATATTAGAAAGAAGCTAATGAGTAGATTAGGGACAAGGTTATGAATAGATAGAAGCTAATGAGTGGATTAAGGAGAAGTTGATGAATCTGATCTTTCCCTTTTTCCAAATTTATTTCTATTATAACTCGTTTTTTTTTCATATTTAATTGAATTATAAATATATATTAAATATATTATGTTAAATATATAAGCCTGTATCCTTTTTTATTTTAAAAATTTTTTTGTGCTTCCAATTTATGTGTTTAAATATTTCTTGTAATCAGAATGTTAAAAATATCATGTTGATAAACTTGTAAAAAATTATAAAAATCAAATATTTGTAGATTCAATATAAATTCATTTATATTGAATATTATATTATCTACAAATATTGTGTCCAGGTATAAATTCATGTTGTTTTTTTTAATCTGTTCATAATGATCTGAATTTAAAAGTGTTTGATTGAGTATATTGATATCATATATGTTCCTTGAACTTCATGGTCCTATTAGTTCTACTGATTAACTTTTCTCCTAAAGTTTTTTGTATTTTGTGAATTCTTTAGGACTTGTCCATGATCTTGCTCTGGCAATGGTCTCTAAGTAAGATTAAATAAAAACAAAGATAAAAAAAATCAGCTATAATCTTCTGCTTGCACTTTTTGTCTTGTTTTTGAACTAATGTCTGAACTATTGTAATCTAATTTTTAAGTACAAAGTTAATATGTAACCCAGTTACTTTAGTATGTGAGCTGGGTACTAATGTGGTATGTGAAATAGGTACTAATGTGGTATGTAAAATAGGTTAGAGTTTGAAGCTTAAAATTGTATATAGCTCTAAGCTTGGACGTGATATTTGAACATGGAGCCTCACATTCATAACACAGATAAAATATTTAAGCTAGTCAAGTTAATATTCTTCTCAGTAGAAAGTTTTATGTTAGCTAATTAATTAACAAGCTAATTGTAATGAATTCATTCATTGTTAAAGCTAAACTAAAGCTTCAATGGAAAACCACAGTTAAAGCAAGAAATCAAGAAACCACAGTTAATGCAGGAAATCCAAGAAACTACAGTTAAAGCAGGAAATCCAAGAAACTACAGTTAAACAGGAAATCCAAGAAACTACAATTAAAGCAGGAAAACTGCAAATTTTAAATGTTATATAATCAATAAAAGATTAATTTTGTTCCAAAACATGACAAAATTCTGGATATTTAATGTTATTTTATCAAGTAAAGATCTTGTTGCAATTTAATAATGAAATAACGAATCAAGAACACTCAAAATCATATTTTTCAAAATAACTAGAATTAATGTTTTTATCCCAGAAGTTATCAAAGGTTTTGAGTACTGATTAAAGTTGTGCTTACCAAGTAACTAAAACAACTAAAGCAGGTCTTGTAATTTACTTCAGCAGTTTGCTAACAGTATCAACGGTTAGAAATAGGACTTGCTCAAAACACATATTTTCAATTAAAACTCCTCAGGAGAAAGACGAAACCTATTCTTGGTTTTGTAATAACTTGTATTTAAAAATGATACAATGGGTTGAAATGAAAATGATACAATGGGTTGAAATGAAAATGATACAATGGGTTGAAATGAAAATGATACAATGGGTTGAAATGAAAATGATACAATGGGTTGAAATGAATATGATACAATGGGTTGAAATGAAAATGACACAATGGGTTGAAATGAAAATGATACAATGGGTTGAAATGAAAATGATACAATGGGTTGAAAAGAATTTATGGGTTGAATGTGGGAAATTAGCGTTAAGAAGTCTTATTAAGTTTTTTGATGGTCCTACTCCAATGATTGATGGTCCTACTAAGGCCAGCAATCATTGGTCTGGATTGCTTGGTAAGATGTTGAATAATGCTACCAACCTTGAAATTAATTCAGAATTTCTACCTCAGTTATGGTATTATTAGAGATTTGAGCACCAATCAGATCAGAGTTATGCATACCAAAATTGTGATATCTATTAAAACTGGAGTTCTACCCAAGAAACTATTTACTACTCTATTAGAAATAGAAATTGGTCTTGCTTGTAATAGTAGTTGTCTAACTACTAATTTAAGATATCCCAGATACTGAGTGCCTAAAGGTGAGTAAACAAGTGAACTTTTAAATAGTTTAAAAAATTATTGTTGAGTACATTATGGGTGTGTATACCCCCAACTGGTTTAACTTGCAGAGGTTTTGCCTTGCTTAGATACGGGTAAACTTTATAGGCTGGTAAGTTTTACATATACTGTATATATTTTAAAATTTATATCTTTGAAAATATTTTAGCATGTTTATTAAAAGCTTTATTCACTCAACCAAATATTTTCAAGATCATCGCACAATTTAAGATCACAATTTTCAAGATCATTGCACAATTATTATTTGCTCTTTAAAATGTGGTTTGATAGTCTGTTATAAATTTAGGATCTATTGGTTTTGATGGTTATCATAAATAATATAAAAGTTCCCAGTTACTGGATTAAAGAGAGGAAAGCTAGAATAAAATGGATGCGCTTGTTTTTAAAGCAGAGTTCTTTAAGCATTCAAATGCCAGAAGGATGCTCTTTGTCATGAATGACATCTTTCAATAATTACAGTATACTAAAGTTTTATACTAATTAGAGGCATTGTATTTAAGAGAATCAAAATTAGGTGATGGATATCACATTTGGAATCTTGCTGAAACAGCTACCACCACAGTACAAAAATTTAACATATTATTACCACAAAAAGCATTAAGCAATTTATCTCCATGACTTGTGGAGAACTTTGATGACAATCTCTTTTTTTATAAGTGCCTCAGGTACTACCATTCCACCTGCAATGATATTCCCAAGAAAAAAGTTCAAGCAAGAAATGCTTAATAATGCACCATCTGGATTACTTGATCTTTTGAATCCAACTGGATAGATAAATACAGAGTTATTTGTAGAAGTAGTTCAACATTTTATTTCAAAAATATTCTTGTCAAAGGAAAACCCAACTCTATTTAATTTGATAATCACAATAGCATTAATCTATTAAAGCTCTTGATCGCAGGAAAGAAAAAATCAGCAGTCAGAGCCAGAGCGATCTCCAGAATTAAAACACATATGGCATTTTGTAGCAGTCAAGAAAAAAAAAATTCAGTTATAAATTTGTTAAATAGTTTATTGGGTATTAAAGAAAGTTCTGCATAATAATTTTGTAAAACTGTGACAGGAATGTGGTTGATTATTGTGACACGAATCTTGCCCGGCCCAAAACTATTGAAGAGTTTAAGTAAAAACTTTAGCAACAAAAGCTATGGTAATTTGGATGTCCAATAACTGATTAACCTATTTCTCAGGGATGACAGAAAGAGTGCATTCACGACTTCACTTTTACTAATGCTTATCAGGACTTCTCATTACAGTTAAAACACAATTCTCACCATCGTAGACTACATAAGATTAAATAAAAAAACATAAGTCTCACCATTGTAGATTACATAAGATTAAATAAAGAAACATAAGTCTTACCATCATAGACTACATAAGACCAAATAAAGAAACATAAGTCTCACCATCATATATTAAAATTTGTGAAACCAACTAGAAAACTTTATTCTTAATTTTAAGTAAGAAGTATTTTTGTTTAAAATAATTTTTTCACAAATGGAGTTTCTTTAGCATGTTTATGTTTTAAAAGCGTTCTTGGTGTTAAAGCGATTAAAATAAAATTTGTTTGAAGAAGGAAAATTATTCTTTAGCTGTTATCATATTATTAGAAATTAGAAGTTTATTTAAATTCCGACCCACCCATTAATAAAGAGTTGGTTTATTTAAATTCCAACCCACCCATTAATAAAGAGTTGGTTTATTTAAATTCGGACCCACCCATTAATAAAGAGTTGGTTGATTTTAGATTCCGACCCACCCATTAATAAAGAGTTGGTCGATTTTAAATTCCGACCCACCCATTAATAAAGAGTTGGTTGATTTTAAAAATATTTTTTAACTTTTATGTTTATTAAGACCT